CAGCACTGCCAAATCATAGGATCGCTTATTTAGATGGAAAAGGCCTTTAAGCTCATCAAGTCCAGGTGTTAAGCAAGGGAACAGGAAGAGATGATGCTCACACTCCTCTGGGGACAAAGGTGAGGAAGGAGCTGCCCCTGGACAGGGAGCAGGACGGGCAGGATGAGGCAGAGGCAGGGCTCAGCTCCACTGCCACATTGTGCCCTTTGCCACTGGCCACAGCTCTGACTTTTCCCCTCCTTGGATGGCCACTGTCCAATGTCAGCACAGCCCTGACCTTCACCCTCAGCCTGGTGCAACATTCAGGCTTTTCTGTTCCAAAAAAAAGTGGGAAAGCAGAGCCTGGCAGCAACTGCTCTGGGAAGGGGGGGCTGGAGTCCTTCCCATGCTGGGCTGTGTCTTGTTGTCCCGCAGGTGAACAAATCCTGGTGTGGAATTAGAAAGCAAACATGGGATGTGGGGTGGGGGTAGGGACAGAGCTCTGGGAGCTCGTGTGCCCTCAGCCAAGCTTGTGCAATCCAAAATTTAGGAGAGCTGGGCCAAGGCAGAGCTGGTGAAATATTTAAGGTGGAGAAGGACAGAGTTGGAGACATGGAATCACCCTCATTGCAGCAGTGAGTGCTTGGTGTGTCTGTATGTCCTGAAAGAATGAATTAACCTCTCATATGTTCCAGCATCCCACCCCTCTAATCCTTAATTTCACAAGGAAGGGAAACTGAGGCACGGGAAGGAGAATTGCTTCACGTACAGCTTCCAAGTGGGGCCCTTCCCCACCCAGCTGTGGGTCTGCAACTGCCCTCGTTTGCAGAGGAGACCAAATCCAAGCTGCTCCTTAGTTTTTGGAAGTTGTGGTTGGAAATTCCACAGCACCAGCCATGTGCACCTCTGGCTGCAGGGAGCTTCCACAGCCCTTGGATAACGATGTCAGGAAAGGCTCAGGAAAGACTTCCTGGAGGGAAGGCTTTTAACTGTTGATGAAATTAGATTTTAAGGCCTCCAGTGAGAGCACAGATCACTTTCTGTGGGCAGTCCCTTCCCAGTCCCTCCTCCTGCACCCCTCTGTTGCTCCTAGACCCAGCCATGTGGTTCCTTCTGCTGCACAGCTGGAATCCCACAGACACAGCTCTCTGTGGAGCATCCAGCTGTTCCTCATGCCTGTCTCCAGCATCCTCCAGACTAAACAATCTCATTTCCTTCCAGCTGTCCTTGCAGGTCATGTTTTTCCTACACCTCTGTTCATTTTCTCCAGCTCCTCCCAGGACTGGACAGTGTTCACCCAACATCCAGGAGAACTATTTCCCATATCTGGCACTCAGCACTCCTGTTTACACATTCTGTAGGGTGATTTTCTTTTTGTTGTTGTAACAATCTGACTCTTTTTGACTCATTTATCCTTTGCCCCAACCTTCTGAGAGCCCTTGGGAATTGCAGCAGTTTTAGGACAGAGCTGCTCCCTCTGCCAGGGGTGAAATGCTGAACTCTGGCTCTCAGTCCTGTTTCCAAATCAAACTTTGGGCTTTTCTCTGGAACATCCATAAGTTGGTGACCTGGGAGATGGGCAACAAGGGAGTGAGCACCCCACAGACCTGCAGCCACTTTCCTGGAAACAAAATCTCCAGGTATGAGCCCCCTGATAGAGTGAGGTGAGGATGTGCAGCAACAGCTGCCTGTGTGCATGGAAGAGGTTTGGGAGTTACTTGGAGCATTCCAAGAGCTGTGGAGTGAAGTGGAGGCTGGCTGTGAGTCCCAGCCCTGGGCAGGAGTGGGGATGGTGCCAGCTCCTGAGACAAGGCAGGCCCAGCACTGTGAGGGAGCTGGGAACAGCTGGCAGTGAGGAGAGTGTGATGTTGGATCTGGCTCGAGCTCGCCTCCGGAGAGCTGCAGGGAACAGCAACACAGCTTCCAGCTGTGGGAAGCAAGAGCAAAGGCACAAGGCCAGGCATCAGGAAACAGCCTTCACTGTGGGGTGCTGTAGCCAAGGAGGATGAACTGGATCATCTCATCAAGCTCCTCTTCCGTGGGACACAGAGATGATTTTACATAAGAATTTCCCTGATGTTGGCGTGAAGACATTCAGCTTTACAGTGGGTTTAGTTTGTGCTGTTTTCTGTAATCCCTGAAGATCAGTGAGCCAGAGCTCTCCTGCTAACACTGGCACCGTGTCATTCCAGAAAGCCACTTGATACCTTCACTGTCTCAGAGGCACTGCTCCAAGGACTTGCTCTGAGAGGGTGATACTCTCTTGCTTCCTCTCCCTCCTGGCATTGTCCAGGAAACCATCTTTGTGCTCCTCCTCCATGGCAGTCGTTCTTTCCAGGTAGGGGAAGGGCTAACTCCTCCACAGCTCTTCCTCCTGAAACATCCTCCCAAGGCACTTTGTGCTCTTATCTCTCCCTTTTTGCGTTCCTCAAGAAGAATCTCATTCCTTCCCTGGGGGGCAATTTTTTTTGTTCCTCTTTTTTTTCCTCTCTGTAAGTCTTAAATCTGAAGGTAAAACACGTGAGCCAGAGTAGGAGACCAGCAAACCTCCCGAGCTGTGCAGAACCATGTTAATTTAGTTAAATTAATTAGGAGATCTGTTGATACAGAGCCTTTCCTCTGCAAATGCTCTGTTCCCTTCCCAAGTTTAAGTCATGCTGACTCCATAAACATGCAGGAAACTTCCTGTGCTGTGTGTTTCTATGATTAACACTGTGATGAGGATTTTAAAGTGCTTAAAAGTATTGGTTTGAGTTTTGTCAGGCAATCGTGGGATTGAACCTCGACACCTCGGCTTCAGGAAAGCATCTCAAATCACAAGAAGCTTCTGTCACAGACAAGCTTCCCACACATAATTCCCAAATCTCAACCACTCCCGGAGTTAGCGACGTCAGCTCTAAGAATGGCAATAACGAGGGGCAGAGGAGGGAACTGACTGGGGATTTTTATAGCAAACAGCAGATTTTGGCTTTGCTTGACAACCAGCCTGTGCTCAGCCCCACTGAGCGGTTTGGATCCGGGCTCTGACCTCAGTGTTTGTGTTGCAGGGGCTCCTGCCAGCCAGGAGAGGCAGGATGAACGTGGGAACGGCGCACAGCGAGGTGAACCCCAACACGCGGGTGATGAACAGCCGCGGCATCTGGCTGTCCTACGTGCTGGGCATCGGGCTGCTGCACGTCGTGCTCCTCAGCATCCCCTTCTTCAGCGTCCCCGTGGTCTGGACTCTCACCAACATCATCCACAACCTGGTAAGGGAGCGGCGTGGCCCGGGGCACTTGTGGGGAACCTTGGCACAGCTGTTCCTCTGGGCAATCTGCTGAGATTCCTGTTGAAACGATTCCTTTGTGTTTCCAAAGATGCCGGGTGAGTTGCTCAATCTCCGGCCCTCAGCCTGTACTGGTGCCTCTGGGTCATGGATTTACGTCCAGCCCAGGTACAGGTGAGGCAGCAACACCTGGTGAGGCTGCTCAGAGGGGATGTGGATTAATTCCCTGTAGGGCAAATCCTTCATTGTATCCCCTTCCAAAAGAAATCTGTGACAGACCCCATCACTGGGGTTGGTAAAACCTGAATTGGCCTCGTGAGAGTTAAGAAAAAACAAGATTAACCCCCAGATTTTGTTCTGACTAAAGTAAAAGATTAGTCCAGGAACTGATTCTTCTCTCTGAAGATCAAGTCCTCACATAGGTCCCCTTGGGCACAGGGGACAAAAAACTTCAGGGATGGAGCAACTGATAGTGTGTCTTTTATTCTAAATAATATCCTCGCCTGGGAATATTTCAGAGATAAAAATTACAGGGATTGAGGACCTTCATGATAAGTTATTACTGGTGGGGGATAAAAACCTCCACAAACGCCCAAACTGGAGCTGCTCAGGAGATAAAAACCTCCACAAACCCTCAAACGGGAGCTGCTCAAGAGATAAAAACAACCACAAAGCCCCAAACTGGAACTGCTCAGCACTCAGCTCACGAGCTGCTGGCTTCTCACCCATCTTCCCTGGCAGCTTTAGTTTCTGGGGACAAAAAGAAATGTAAAGGCCAGGAGTGGCTGTACTTGGGAGCTGTGGTGTAGCTGGAATGTTTGTCTGTGACTTGTGTTCCCCTGGTAATCAGGGGGTGACAGACCTTCTCCCAGACATTTTCGGGGAGCCTTCAGGCAGCAGGCAGGCGCTAATCTCCCGATCGCAGAGATCCCAGGGCTGTAATCTTGCCACCGCCTCCTTGGCTCACAGCCAGGAGCCGAGCGAGAGGCCTGACGTGGAGCAGCCGAGCTGGCCCGGCCTTTCCCAACTCTCCTTTCCCTGCTTCCCGGCCGCTCCGGCTTTTCCAGCAGCTCCACATCCCTCTAGTGGAACGGCGCGGGGGTGCAAGCGCCCAGATCCACTGCTGTGGATCCGGGCTTTTCGGGGTGCAGGGCCCCGTGTGCCTCACGCCCGCCGTGTGTCCCGCAGAGCATGTATTTCTTCCTGCACACCGTGAAGGGAACCCCCTTCGAGACCCCGGACCAGGGCAAGGCCCGGCTGCTCACGCACTGGGAGCAGATGGATTATGGAGTCCAGTTCACCGCGTCCCGCAAGTTCCTCACCATCATGCCCATCGTCCTGTGAGTATTCTGGGGTGGCTGAGCCACCTCGTGTCCCAGTACCCATCAGTGTTCCGTCCTGGGAGACGAGCACATGGAATGCCACAGCTCAGTTTGCCTCTCTCTGTTCCCACCTTCCCTCTGCAGGTATTTTCTAACCAGCTTTTACACCAAGTACGACCGGATACACTTCATCATCAACACCATCTCCCTCATGAGCGTCCTGATCCCCAAACTGCCTCAGTTCCACGGAGTGCGGATCTTTGGCATCAACAAGTACTGAGCGGCGTGGCCGGAGCGGATGGCGGAGGAGCGGGGCCCGGGGGGGATTCTTCCCTCCAGCCCCCTTTCCTCCCCCCACACAGACTGGGATGTGGTTTGGCAGCGGCTGTTTAAAGGCAGATCCCAAGAGACACATTCCGCATGCTGGATCCTCGTGCCCAATAAATCCAAACCAGCTCCAGAGTAGAGTTTAGTGCGGAGCAGGACGTGCGACACCGGATTTCTCTTCTCCCAGGGTCATCAGTAGATGCAAAACCACTGAGACTTTGAGGTACAACAAGGATGAATTCTGGGAAGAGTCTCATCTATTCCAGACATGGAATGACGAGGATAGGGATGAGGGGGAAAGCTTTTAGTGCTGGTACTATTGCTGTGGTAAATGCACTTTAAAATACATTTCCCTTCCTGAAGCTGGGTGCTTTGAGCAGAACGTGAGGGAAATCCAAAGGGATGCAGCCAGACTTTCCCAGGACTGGATGGTTTTGGGGTCTGATTTCCAGTTTTAGGTGGGAAGTGGGAGGGGGAAGTGAACGACAGATTTTTATTTTTCAATCGTTGACACCACTAAGAAGGGAAATTCTTTTCCTAAAAACAGCACAGGAAGAAGTGACCTGCAGTTTGACAAAGCTTTTGATTTCCTACATCAGCATCCATGTGGTCCAGGGAAAAGGTGGATAGATCCAAAATCATGCTTGTTACTTTCAGTTTATACCCAAATCTGCCCAGGTAACTCCTCTCCCACCCCAAACTGCTGTTTTTAAGTGCACAGGGGCTCAGTGGGCATTTGGATCAAGGGCTGGGGGCAGGTGATTTAATGACTGACACCAAATGCCATGGAGCTCCTTGGAGCATGGACATGGACAGGTGTGGGAGAGGCAGACAGGGGGCAGTGGGACAGGAGGAAGGCTGATTGCTCTAATCAAGCATGCAGCCATCCTTGACTTGGAATTTTTCTCCTCACTTCAGCTCCTTGGTTGCTTAAGTGCGTGTGACTGGGATTTGCCAGTTCTCCGTGGACTCAAGGGTTGGATTTCTGGCTTAGCTGGAAATCTGTCCCTCAGCTCCGTGCCCAAGGGCTGTGTGAGCAGCAGCACCAGCAGCAGATGAATTGACCAGCAAAGGAGTCAGTTTGTCACTGATAGTAGATCCTGTCACAGAGGAACAAAATCAAGCCTTTTTCCTCTAAAATTACCACCTAAATAAAGCAGGCTTAGGTTTCCTGGCTGAGACAGCTTTTGCTGTTTTACTGAAAATCAGAATGACCTGATTTGCCTTTAGGTTGTGTCCCAGATGGAATGGGTTTTCCCTCACTCTTACCCTGTAACCCCATGAAAACCTATATTTTTGTTGTCTTACTGCTTATATCGTCTCACCTTTTTTGACAATTGTATAAATCTTTTAAATCTGCATTTTTATTTTTTTTTTTGTCCTTGCAGTAGCAAATCCAGCTTTAGGGGCCGTGGTGGAGAGTGTTGAGGTTTTGGATGGTCTGAGCATAGGATATGGAAGGGGGAATTTTTAGATCTGTTACTACTCCATGCATAATTTTAGCCAAGTTGCTTCACTTCTCTCTCAGACTTCCTTTGGGACTGCTACAGGGAAGGGAAAATATGGAGTGTACCTCAAAAGTCTGCTGGAATGCAGGGAGAATCATCCCCTAAAGTGTTTGGGAAGTGGAAATCCACGTGAAAAGGAAGTTTTCAAGCAGGTAGAAGGAGAAGAGAATCTGGCTGGAGACCCCAGGGAATTGACAGATGTGCAATTTCCTTGATGGGCAGTTTAAACCTTCAAACCTAGGCTAGAAGAGCTGCTGCTTTAGCTGAGGTACTCTCTACCCTAATCGGCTCTTTAAGCTACTAGACAATGATAATTGTGATAAAAATAGAGATATTTCATCAATCAGCTGGGAAATGACACAGACATGGGCAGTTCTCCTGCAGGAGGGGCAGGTCCTGGCAGGGTGCCTGAGGCTGGAGCTGAAATTCTGATTGTGGTGCTGAACAGACCTGAGTGTCTGCCCAGACACCACTTCCATCTCCAGGGGAAATGAAAGAAAACTAATTATTGTAGTAGAAAACATGGGGAAAACCATCTTTTCTGCAACAGAAACAGCCTCTAGATGCTTTCAGACATGACTTCTCACACACAGACATATGTTGGGTATTTCCAAGCATATGCACATCACAGATTTGTAAATTTAGAATAATTATCAATTGAAAGGATCAGCTTTTTTTTATGAGATACAGCAATAACACAGCTGTGGGTTTGAACACTTGTGTGGTCACTGACACTATCTGACTCTGTTTCCTTAAATTAAACATCAGCTGGGACTCAGAATGGGATTATAAACTTCTCAAACAAGTAGGTTCTAAAGCCTAAAGCCCCAAACTTGTAATTAAGACTCTGCTTAGCAACAAAAGTAAATATTTTTTGATTTCTCTCCTTCACACAAATGATCAAAACAGCCAATGGCAGAGACACTCTTCACAACACAGGTGTGGCATTTTTCCATGGAATAACTGACATTAATTTGGACTCAGTTAATCCAGTCAAGGGAAACATAAATGAAAACTTAAGTAATATGGAAAGAAGCAAGTTGAAGAAAGATTTCACATTCTGTTGTGGTGAGTTAAGTATCTTTATATTATTAGTAAGTATTTGAACGATTGAACATTGGGTAGTATCTTCCTTAAGATCCCAACTTAAGGGTAGGTGTCAGGATCAATCAAAAATAAAAAGCAGGAATTGTAATTAAACCACCATTTTTGGGTTTACCCGAGGCAGTCTGAAGTGAAAGGACAGCATGAGCAGCTTGAGGGGTGGTCAGACATGTCCTGGAAGGGGACAGATCAAGGGTGAATCCACATTGTGGGAGGAGAAACGAAACATTAACAGATGTGGTGATGCAGGGAGGAGATAACAGATTGTCACTGATTTTAAATGGGATTCTGGTCACATCACACTTGACAGATTCCCTCTCACACTGGTCCTGTATCATGATCAGGACAAGTTCCTACCTGGAGAGATCAAATCTCCTGTGATGGAAAAACAACCCCTGGTAAGTTATTTTAAGCTTTTCTGTTTTGGTCTGCAATTAAAGAGAAAAACTTTTGAAAGGCTGGAAGCCTTCCCAAGAAGTGGCAGCAGCCTGTCCCATCCTGTCCTTGGCAAAGCCCCCTCAGCCACTGTCAGCACCACACACGTTTCCAGGGGGCACAGCAGCCCCTGCTCCAGGACACTCAGCAAACCAGCAAGTCCTCCCAGCCTGATGCTCCTGAATCAGGGATCCTGACCTGGGAGTCCTTTCACAGAGCTACCAGGCTGGCAAACAGTCCTAACCTTTGCAGGAAAAAGCCTATAAAATTAAAATAAATGGAGGGCTACTTATTCTCTTTTATGCTTGAATCACTGTTCAACTTTGGGTTGTTTTTAGAAGCTCGGTACTGGCCCTCAAGGAGGGGACAGCAGTGGGTTAACACATTAATATTCCTTCTTGTGACTTATGTTGCTTTATCATTGCCTAGAATATCTTTTAAGCATGTGAGTGTTGGTGTGTCCATACCCTCCTTGGATCAGTTAAATCAGCTGAATTAGTTGGGAGGGTTTTTAAAGGAATGTTCTGTACAAAGTTTTAGGGGTTTTTTCCCATAGCCTTCTTTTTGCTGTGGATACAGGAGTCTCATGTAGAGAACTTTCTAAAATAAAGTGTGAATATTTTTATTACTCCTTTGTACAGTATTCTAAGAGAGACTAATAAAAGTGAAGTATTCAGGTAAAAACTTGTGCTTGAGTCCTGGAATCTTCACATGGATGGCTTTTGCTGTCAAACAAGCATGGCAATGTACCCTGGAGACATGGAATGGCTCGGGTTGGAAGGCACCTTAAGGCTCCAGGGCCATCCCCACCCTCTGCCATGGGCAGGGACACCTTCCACTAGCCCACGTTGCTCCAAGCCCCATCCAGCCTGGCCTTGGACACTCCCAGGGATGGGGCAGCCACAGCTTCTCTGGGTAACCTGTTCTGGGGCCATCCCCACCCTCACAGAGAGGAATTTCTTGCCAATACCCCCTCCTGGGTTCATTTCTCCATCTGTCAAAGAGGAGCAACATTATGTGGCTTGATAACATTGGAGAGTGGAAGGATGGAATGGTTTTGTCTGAAGGGACCTTAAAGCCATCCAGTCCCACCTGCTGCCAGGGGCAGGGACACCTTCCTGTCCAGTCTGGTCTGGGACACTTCCAGCAGTGGACTTACATCTCCTACATCTGTACAAGTTCCAGTAACCCACAGCCCCTGTAACAGACTCTGCTCAAGGAAGACTTACACAAGCAATGGCCATTTTGAGGAAATGGAGCACTGGGAAGGAGGATGGTAAATTGCTCCAGCTGGGAATAACTCTGGGGAATAATAACTCAGGTGTGAACAGCCAGGGAACCACCAGCATGGATCAGATCTAACATTGCTCCTGCCCACGTGTTGCTTCTGGGAGCCTACTGTCAGCAAGAAAAACCAATTTACTCTTTGCCCTGTGTTTGTGGGGTTGCCAGCTTCCTGGGAACTCACGGCTCCCGTACTTAGCAAACACTTCCACACCTTTGGCAGAGAGCCAGAGATTTTCTCCCCAGTCCTGCTGCTCTCCAGAGGCCACATCACCTCAGCAGCCCCACGGTCTGCCCTGCACGCCCACCACCCCACAAACAGGCAAGTGCATTATCCCAGGGCTTTGGGCAGGGGAGAGGGTTGGTGGGAGCTCTCTCTGGAAGTGCTCTTGTTTAGTTTTTCTTCTCCTCTTGGGGAGTTCCAAGGGAAAGAGCTCAGAAGCGCTACTAACATTGAGCACCTAAAGCTATTTGTCTTTGGAATGGTTTAAACTCACAGAGAGCAGGGTTAGATGGGATATTGGGAAGAACTCCCTCTGTGTGGTGGTCAGGCACTGGCACACTGGCCCACATCCCTGGAAGTGTCCAAGGCCAGGGCTTGGAGCAATCTGGGATAGTGGAAGGTGTCCCTGACCGTGTTAGGGAGAGGAAAGGGATGACCTTTAAGGTCCCTTCCCATCCAAACCGTTCTGGATTGTTCAATTTCTTCTCTCCAGCTCTTTCCCGTAAAACATCAGAAAAGTGAAACTGAAACTTTTTCATGAAAAGAAGTTGTGTCAGAAAGGAAAAAGGGATTTCTTTCTGGCCCTCAAACACCAGCTCTCCCCTGCCAACCACCAGGGCTTGCCCAATAAGGCTGGGCTGATTTCTGTTTTGGGGGACATTTTCCTTTAATATCAGCATTCTCAGGGTGTGCCCACTGTGCTCTCTCTGCACAATCACTGGGGTTCAGCAGCAAAGGCACATGAGGCCAAACAACCCTGCTGCTACCTCTCCAAAAGCTCCCTGTAACAACCCTGTGAAACTTGTGTCCCTGGGTAATACCAGTCATTATTTTGAAAGCTTCTTCATAATTAAAGAAATACTTTGTTACAATGTCCTGTTTAACCTCCACCCGGGGAAGTTTAGCTTGGACATCAGGAAAAAATTCTTCACTGAAAGAGTGACTGGCCACTGGAATCATCTGCCCAGAGAGGCAGTGGAATAATCATCCCTGGACGTGTTTAAGAAAAGAGTGGAGGTGGCACTCAGCACCATGATTTAGTTGATGAGGAAATCTTAAGGTCATAGGCTTGACTAGATGATCTCAAAGGGCTTTTCCAGCCTAGATCATTCTGTGATTCTGTGCTGTTATTTCAAGTCATTTGGCTTAGCTTGTGTTCCCTCTTTCCCAAGGCACAAATCCCCTTGGCTTTGCTTCAAAACCTCAGCCACAGCCAGAATGTTTAAAAAACTCACCAAATTCATTGTAAATCAAATGGATCCTAGCAAACAATTGGATCCTGTTGACAGCATCGCAGACAATGAGCACCTCAGGCCTCTCTGTCTACTGATTAAAAAAAGAAAATCAACCCGCATATTCCACCGAGCTCCCTACTACCAGCTGACAGGATTCACACTGGATGATGTGCTGCTGCCTGGAGAAGATGGTAAAAGCATAGGTAATCCTCAAATTTATCAATAGGAATTTATCAAATATCATAGATAATATTTTTTAACTCTTTGTGGCTGAACTCTACCAAGTTCCAGCTTTCCTCTGTGTATGATACACTAACAATGCTGAGTCTTTGTAGTGCTGCTTAAGATAATGCATGGAATTATTTCAGAGTCCATCTATCAAGAATCCAGCCAATTTCCTCTCACAAAAGTCAACACTGATGAAGTTGATGGATGTCTCAAGATTTCTTTTGGCCCTGCAAGTGTAGAGATTAAAGGAGGTGCTTCCTTGTCCAAAGGGTTTTCTATCAAGCCACAGAAGAAGAATGTACCACTGCAATCACTGGAGGCACTGAGAAGAGAAAGGTAAGGAATGACAAAGGAAGCACACACACTCCAGTCATCTCCTTCCAGCCCATGCCAGGTTAAGAACCAATTTTCAATAGCCAAAAACCAAAATCCAGGCTATGGAAAACCAATATATTCCACCAGTTCTGTTAGCTGTGCAAAGGTTTGGCTTCTCTTTCCTTGCTTCCCCAACACCTGCACCCAGCTGTTCTAACTGGTTGTTTTCCTTCACCAGGGCACCAGAGAGAACAACCAAGGCATAGTGATACCCAAGGGCTGCACACTGGCCTTCAGGACCATCCCACTACACATCAGAGATGGAGCATGGGGTAAGCAACTTCCAGAAATGACCAGTTTCTGCCTTCTAGAAATGGTGCACAAAAGGAAGAACATTTTATGAAGACTCACCTGGCCCCAGATACACCCTAAACTGGTTTGCAAGGAAAGGGAGACAGTGTGAGGGACAGAAATCACCTGAGGGAGGCCACACAGCCCATGCAATGTCAAAGAACTAAAGAAAGATGATGTTTGGGCACGGATCAGTAAAAAATAGAAAGAAGGAAGTCTCAGATCTACTTTTCAGGAGCTGCAAAGCTCCTGGTGATAAATAGTACAGAGAGCAGAGTTTGGGTCTGAAAATTTCTACTCATAAGAAAAGAGCGAGGGAGAAAACAGGATGGGTGACCACCACTGGGGAGGCTGGCAGAGAAAACCATAAATGTCCTTTTTATCCTGCTACAGATCTGGATTATATCAAAGGGGGAGCTATGAGCAATCAAGGTCGTGGAGCTGTGGAAATTCAAGCTTATGCAGATGATGGTAAGGAATGTATTTTACTGCACAACTTTTGGCTGCTTTGGGTGAGATGGAATCTCCCAGCATTAAACAAACCACCAGGAGAGATGCATTTGCCTCTCCCCTGAGACATCACAACTGCCCAAATTCTATATCACTTCAAAAACACTCATACAAGTGTTTCAAACTTAGGGTTTAGAGCTGCCAGTGAACTCCTAGAACTCAAGTGACAGATTTGAACTTATTCTGGTTTGCAGGTCCCTCAGCAGGAAAATTAGAAGAAGTGAGGATAGAAGTTCGATATTCCTGCCGAATTTTCCCCGAGTTGTCTCCTGACCTGCAGCTCATCATCTTAATCACCATCACAGCTGTGATGAGAGACAAGAACCCGTCCAGCTCCAGGAAGATGGATCAGCTGTCCCTAGGGATGAACCCTTTGAGGCTGTGGCAGCCCTGTTTGTGGCCTTGTATGTCCTCAACCTCCTGAGCGGTTCCAAGTAGGAGGTACGTGGCCCTGCCCAGGGAACCCCTCCACAAAATGTTGGGAAAACTCTGCTGACAAGAGTTTTCCCTCCCACTATCACCCTTGTTAATGCTCAAGGCTGCTTTGGCTGGCAAAAGCAAATTTAAGGCTGGAAAATTCATTATAGATGCTAAAGGCTGGATATCAAAGTAGATCTGTCTGTCTCCCCAAGATTATTAAGTGAAAACAGAAAAATCCACAATCCCAAAGAATCACAGGCCTGGCACCGGTGCTTCGTGTAATCCTGCTTCCCTCAAAATGCTGCTGCTGCTGCTTCTGCAATCAGTAAATGGGAAAGGGAAGGCAAAGGAATGGGAAGGGAATGCAGAGGGGAAAGGGGAGGTGCAAGGAAAAAGGGGAAGAACATACAAGAACAAGGCAAAAATGAAATGCAAAGGGAAAAGGAAGGAAATGAAAATAAAACAAAAGACAAAGGAAAATATCAGCAGAGATTCACCCTGCTCCCTCTCTCGTTCAGTGGGGGCTCCATTAACTACTGGTTGTAGGAAGGTGGGGAAATCCCAGAGGTTTCACTCTCACCTCTCCAGTCCCATCTCCCTGAGACACTCAAGAGCCATGGGCAGCACTTCAGGGAGATGGCACAAATATTCCCATTATCACTTTATAAATAAAGAGCAGCTTCTTGCTAAGCAATTCTGTGGTCTCAAAGGCTATTTCTTAATTTTGTGTCTTTTCCGTCCCATGGCACACCTGACAACCTCAGGACTGAGGCTGTACCAGAAATAAGGGTCCTTGATGTGGACACAGCAGTCTCCTGTAGAGAACCTTCTAAAAGAAAGCGTGAATATTTTCATTACTCCTTTGTACAGTATTCTAACAGACACTAATAAAAATTAAGTATTCGGGTACAAACTTGTGCTTGAGTCCTGGAATCTTCACATGGATGGCTTTTGCTGTCAAACAAGCATGGCAATGTACCCTGGAGACATGGAATGGCTCGGGTTGGAAGGCACCTTAAGGCTCCAGGGCCATCCCCACCCTCTCACCTTCCACTAGCCCACGTTGCTACAAGCCCCATCCAGCCTGGCCTTGGACACTCCAGGGGATGGAGCAGCCACAGCTTCTCTGGGTAACCTGTCCTGGGGCCACATCACCCTCACAGAGAGGAATTTCTTGCCAATACCCCCTCCTGCGTTCATTTCTCCATCTGTCAAAGAACAGCAACATTACCTGGCTCAATAAAGTTGAATCATGCAATGATGCAATGGTTTGGCTTGAAGGGACCTTAAAGCCATCCAGTCCCACCTGCTGCCAGGGGCAGGGACACCTTCCTGTCCAGTCTGGTCTGGGACTCTTCCAGTGGATTTACATCTCCTACATCTGTACACGTTCCAGTAACCCACAGCCCCTGTAACAGACTCTGCTCAAGGAAGACTTACACAAGCAATGGCCATTTTGAGGAAATGGAGCACTGGGAAGGAGGATGGTAAATTGCTCCAGCTGGGAATAACTCTGGGGAATAATAACTCAGGTGTGAACAGCCAGGGAACCACCAGCATGGATCAGATCTAACATTGCTCCTGCCCACGTGTTGCTTCTGGGAGCCTACTGTCAGCAAGAAAAACCAATTTACTCTTTGCCCTGTGTTTGTGGGGTTGCCAGCTTCCTGGGAACTCACGGCTCCCGTACTTAGCAAACACTTTCACACCTTTGGCAGAGAGCCAGAGATTTTCTCCCCAGTCCTGCTGCTCTCCAGAGGCCACATCACCTCAGCAGCCCCACGGTCTGCCCTGCACGCCCACCACCCCACAAACAGGCAAGTGCATTATCCCAGGGCTTTGGGTAGCAGAGATGATTGGTGGCACCTCTATGTGAAGTGCTCTTGTTTAGTTTTTCTTCTCTTCTTGGAGACCTTCAAGGGAAAGATCTTGGAAGTGCTACTAACATCGAGCACCCAAAGCTATTTGTCTTTGGAATTATTTAAATTCAAAGAAAGCAGGGTCAGTTGGGATATTGGGAAGAAATCCCTCTGAGGATGCTGAGGCTCCAGAACAGGGTGCCCAGATAAGTTATGGCTGTCCCATCCATGGAAGTGTCTATAACCAGGTTGGACAGGGCTTGGAGCAGCCTGGGAGACTGGAAGGTGTACCTGACCTTGGCAGGGAGAGGAATGGGAGGAGCCTTAAGGTCCCTTCCCATCAAAACCAGTCTGGATTGCCCAATTTCCCCTCCCCAGCTCCTTCCCATAAAACACCAGAAAGTTGAAACTGAAATCTTTTGATAAAAACAAGCTGTCTCAGAAAAGAAACAGAGATTTCTTTCTGGCCCTCAAATGCCAGCTCTCCCCTGAAGACCACTAAGGCCTGCCCAGTGAGGCTGGGCTGGGTAGATTCCTCTCTATTTTGGGGGACATTTGTCTCTAAAATCAGCATCCTGAGGGTCTGCCAGCAGTGCTCTCTCTGCACAATCACTGAGCCTCAACAGCAAAGTGGGACAAGGCCAAACAAGCCACAGCTCCTGCTGCTTCCTCTTAAAAGACTCCCTGGAACAACCCTGTGAAACTTGAGTTCTTGGAGAGGGAGGGGGGTTTTGAGTCATTATTTTGAAATCTTCTTAATCATTAAAGTCATGCTTTGTTACAATGTCCTCCTATTATTTCAAGTAATTCAGCTTAGCTTGTGTTCCCTCTTTCCCAAGGCACAAATCCCCTTGGCTTTGCTTCAAAACCTCAGCCACAGCAGAATGTTTAAAAACCTCACCAAATTCATTGTAAATCAAATGGATCCTAGCAAAGAATTGGTCCCTGTTGAAAGCATCGCAGACAATGAGCACTTCAGGCCTCTCTATCTACTGAAAAAAAAAAGCAAACCAAAAACTGTATTCCACCGAGCTCCCTACTACCAGCTGACAGGATTCACACTGGATGATGTGCTGCTGCCTGGAGAAGATGGTAAAAGCATAGGTAATCCTCAAATTTATCAATAGGAATTTATCAAATACCATAAATAATGGTTTTTAACCGTTTGTGGCTGAACTCTACCAAGTTCCAGCTTTCTTGTGTATGATATACTTACAGTGCTGAGTCTGTGCTGTGCTGCTTAAGATAATGTATGGAATTTTTTCAGAGTCCCTTCATCAAGAATCCAGCCAATTTACCCTCACAAAAGTCAGCACTGACCAAGCTGATGGAGGTCTCAGCATTTCATTTGACCCTACAAATGTAGAGCTGAAAGGAAAGGCCTCCTTGTCCAAAGAGTTTTCTATTATGCCACAGAAGAAGAGCATATCACTGGAATCACTGGAGGCACTGAGAAGAGAAAGGTAAGGAATGACAAAGGAAGCACACACACTCCAGTCATCTCCTTCCAGCACACACCAGGTTAACAATGGGTTTTCAACTGCCAAAACCCAAGATTAAAACCTTAGGGCATGAACTTCCTCTAACTAGGCCAGGTTAGACAGGAAATGGAGTGGCAAGTTCTCCATGAGCCTCCTCTTCTACAGGCTTATCCCACCCCAGATGCCTCAGCTGCTCCTGGTGCTCCAAACCCTTCCCATCCTTTTCCTCTTTCAGGGAAATCAACATGGATCATTCCTTCATCCAACAACTACAGAGAACAGGCATCAAGCTGTATGTGGTCACTGAAATCCTCGAGGCCTCAGAGGAGGCTGTCTACAAGGAATCCACCAAGGCAGACGGGGGCTTCATGGCCAAATTTTATGCCACACTCTGTGCACAGGTCTGGCTTCTCCCTCCTTGCTTCCCCAACACCTGCACCCAGGTGCTCTGACTGGTTGTTTTCTTTCTTTATGCAGAGCAACAGAGAGGACAGACAAAGCATAGTGATACCCAAGGGCTGCACGCTGGCCTTCAGGACCATCCCACTACACATCAGAGATGGAGCATGGGGTAAGCAACTTCCAGAAATGACCAAGTTCTCCATTCCAGAAGAGGAAGAACATTTTATGAAGCACCACTTGCCCTCAGAGCTATCTTCAGCTTGTCTGCAGATAGGAGGAGGCAGCGTGAGCGACAGAAATCACCTGGGGGAGGTCAGATAACCCATGCAAGTTCAAGGATGCTCTTTGGGGAGGGGTCAGTAAAGAAAGGAAAGAAGGAAGCGTCAGATCTACTTTTCAGGAGCTGCAGAGCTCCTGGTGATAAATGGCACAGAGAGCAGAATTTTGGTGTTTCTTTTTCTTTCCTAACCAGAAGAGGCAGGGAGGAAGCTGAGTGGGTGACCACCACTGAAAAGGCTGGTATACAAAACTGTTGTTTTATCTTCTTTTAGATCTGGATTATTTCCCAGCAGAAGCTGTGAGAAAGCAAGCTTATGTAGCTGATGGTAAGGAATGTATTTTACTGCTTCCACATGCACAACTTTTGGCTGCTTTGGGTGAGATGGAATCTCCCAGAAGGGGAGGTGGGGACTTTGTTAATTCTAGCAACATCTCCAAAATGATGTCACAAGCTGACAAGTGATTGAAATTCTGATTTTGCTTTTTTTTGTTGTTGCTGTGAAGGTTGAAAACCTCCTGAAACATGACCTGGATAAGGGGAAGGAGCCTTTCCTTGTGGATACCAGGGTGCTCTTCCCACAGGAGGAGGAGCAGATGTTAACCATTGCCCTGGTGGAGCTGAGTGGAGTGCAGCTCCAGGAAGATGGATCAGTTATCCCTAGGGATAAACCCTTCGAGGCCATGGCAGCCCTGTTTGTGGCCCTGTACACCCTTAACTTCCTGAGTGGTTCCAGGTAGGATGTACCCGGCCCTGCCCAGGGAACCCCTCTACAAAGTTTTGTGAAATCTCTGCCGACAAGAGTTTTCTCTCCCAATATCATCCTTGTTAATAATCAAGGCTGATTTGGCTGGCAAAATGAAATTTAAGGCAGGAAAGTTCATTATGGTACTAAAGGTTGGATATCAAAGTAGATTTGTTTCACTGGCACCTCCCTGGTCCCAGCACTGCCATCATCCCTGAGATGTTCAATGGACACATGCAGCACTTTACAGCAAGCATACTCTCATTATCACTATGTAAATAAAGAGGACCTTCTTGCTACAAAACTGGGTGTTCTCAAAGTCAATGTCTTAATTTTGTGTAGTTTTGGTTACACAGCACATCTGGCAAGCTCGGGATGCTATATGAAAAATACAGACACTTAGCCCTGGGGGCAAGTCGGGGGGTTCCTCAGGCTGTGGAGCTCTGGGGGGGTCTCTGGAGGCCATGGGTGCCTGCAGCAAGGGGCAGCACTGCTCACCTGTGTGGGGACTGATGGCTCTGGGAGAACCTCCAGCACCAGGGGCTGGGCTCTGCCTTGCAACAGCTACGAGGGGAGCCCGGTTCCAACCTGGAACCATCATGAGACCCTTTGGCCCCAGTCCCAGACCAGACCCCTCACCCCAGTTTCAACCTGGCCCCTCATGGGACTCCTGCTCCCAGCCTCAGCTCCCATCCTCACTCACGGGATTCCCGATCCCAGCCCAGCCGTTCACAGGATCCCCAAGCCCACAAGGGACCCCTTTGCAGAGTCCCCGGTCCCAGCCCGACCCCACATGGACCTCAAGGGACCCCTCACAGAATCCCCTATCTCTGTCCGGCCCCACACGGGACCCTTCACAGAATCCCCGGTCCCAGCGCGGCCCCTCACGGGATCCCTCACAGAATCCCCGGTCTAGTCCGGCCCCTCACGGGACCCTTCATGGGATCCCCTGTCAGACAAGCCCCTCACGGGACCCCCAACCTTGTCCCAGCGCGGTCCCTCACGGAACCCTTCACGGGATCCCCGATCTGATCCCAGCCCGGCCCCTCACGGGAGCCTTCACGGAATCACGCCTCACAGACAAGCCCCTCACGGGAGCCTTCACGGGATCTCCCCTCACAGACAAGCCCCTCACGGAACCCTTCACGGGATCCCCCATCTGATCCCAGCCCGGCCCCTCACGGGAGCCTTCACGGAATCACGCCTCACAGACAAGCCCCTCACGGGAGCCTTCACGGGATCTCCCCTCACAGACAAGCCCCTCACGGAACCCTTCACGGGATCCCCCCTCACAGACAAGCCCCTCACGGGACCTCAGCGAAGACTCGCCCGCGCCCCCAGAAGGCGGGAACAGCTCAGCACCCGGCGGAAACACCCGAAAGTTCTACGGAGATTCCCGAAGGAGAGAGGCGAAAGGAGCCGATCGATGCCGGAACCTTCCGAGAGGGCTCGGCCAAAACGCCCGAAAATGCGGGCGAAAACCTACGAGCGAAGACGGAAATACCCGAGAGCCTCACGGAACTCCACGAGCGCTGCCTGAGCTACCCGAAAGCGCGACGGAACAACCCGAGCGACGGCGGAAACGGCCGAGCGAAAGGCGGAAGGAGACGATCGTGTGTCGCTCGTCGCTCGGCTGGTCGCGCCTGGCGGCCCGTTGTGCAGTGTCACGCCATGAAGCAGGACGGCGCGTCCCGCCGCCGCGGCGACAAGGCCAAGGCACCCCCGGAGGGACCCCCGCCCGCCCCCCCCGACGTCGAGATGCACGAGGAGGCGGCGCCGGTGGCCCCCGAGGCGGCCGGAGAGCGGCAGCCGCAGCGGGAGCTGGACGCGATCACGCTGGAGGGTGAGGGGGGGGTGTTGCTGTAATGGGGGTGTCTGTGGCGATGGGGGG